GAAACTCCATCTCAAAAAAAAAAAAAAAAAGAATCATTCCAATGTTACTTGGTCAGAGTAAGTGTATTTTGCCTGGATATAAATTTTATTTATTTTTTATTTTTTTAAATATATATTTTACTGCACTTTAGGTTCTGGGGTACATGTGCAGAACATGCAGGACTGTTGCATAAGTACATACATGGCAATGTATTTTGCTGACGCCATCCCCCCCATCACCTATATCTGCCATTTTTCCCCATGTTATCCCTCCTGAGCCTTCATACCCCCTGCTGCCCTTCCCCTATTCCCCCCCAACAGACCTGAGTGTGTGATGACCCCTTCCCTGTGTCCATGTGTTCTCATTGTTCAATGCCCACCTATGAGTGAGAACATGTGGTGTTTGATTTTCTGTTCTTGTGTCAGTTTGCTGAGAATGATGGTTTCCAGATTCATCCATGTCCCTACAAAGCACACAAACTCATCATTTTTTATGGCTGAATAGTATCCCATGGTGTATATGTGCCACATTTTCCTTGTTCAGTCTATCATTGACAGGTATTTGGGTTGGTACCAGGTCTTTGCTATTGCAAACAGTGTCGTGATGAACATACATGTGCATGTGTCTTTATAATGGAACAATTTATAATCCTTTGGATATATAGCCAGTAATGGGATTGCTGGGTCAAATGGATTTTTTATTTCTAGGTCCTTGAAGAATCGCCACACTGTCTTCCACAATGGTTGAACTAATTTACACTCCCACCAACAGTGTAAAAGTGTTCCTATTTCTCCACATCCTCTCCAGCATCTGTTGTCTCCAGATTTTTTAATGATTGCCATTCTAACTGGCATGAGATGGTATCTCAATGTGGCTTTGATTTGCATTTCTCTAATGACCATTGATGATGAGCATTTTTCATATGTTTTTTGGCCTCATATATGTCTTCTTTTGAAAAGTGTCTGTTCATGTCCTTCACCCACTTTTGAATGGGTTTATTTGTTTTTTTCTTGTAAATCTGTTTTAGTTCTTTGTAGATTCTGGATATTAGCCCTTTGTCAAATAAGCAGATTTCAAAATTTTTTCCCATTTTATTGGTTACTGGTTCAGTCTAATGATTGTTTCTTTTGCTGTGCAGAAGCTCTGGAGTTTACTTAGATCCCATTTGTCTATTTTGGCTTTTGTTGCCAGTGCTTTTGGTGTTTTAGTCATGAAGTTCTTGCCTATGACTATGTCCTGAATGGTTATGCCTAGGTTTTCTTCTAGGGTTTTTATGGTATTAGGTCTTATGTTTAAGTCTTTAATCAATCTGGAGTTAATTTTAGTGTAAGGTGTCAGAAAAGGGTCCAGTTTCTGCTTTCTGCACATGGCTAGCCAGTTTTCCCAACACCATTTATTAAACAGGGAATCCTTTCCCCATTGCTTGTTTTTGTCAGGTTTGTCAAAGACCAGATGGTTGTAGATGTGTGGCGTTGCTTACGAGGCCTCTGTTCTGTTCCATTGGTCTATATCTCTGTTTTGGTACTGGTACCATGCTGTTTTGATTACTGTAGCCTTGTAATGTAGTTTGAAGTCAGGTAGCATGATGCCTCCAGCTTTCTTCTTTTTGCTTAGAATTGTCTTAGCTAGGCAGGCTTTTTTTTCGTTCCATATGAAGTTTAAGGTGGTTTTTTCCAGTTCTGTTAAGAGGGTAATAGGTAGCTTGATGGGGATAGCATTGACTCTATAAGTTACTTTGGGCAGTATGGCCATTTTCACAACACTGATTCTTTCTAACTATGAGAACGGAATGTTTTTCCATCTGTTTGTGTTCTCTCTTATTTCCTTGAGCAGTGGTTTGTAGTTCTCCTTGAAGAGGTCCTTCACATCCTTTGTTAGTTGTATTCCTAGATATTTTATTCTCTTTGTAGCAATTGTGAATGGTAGTTCATTCTTGATTTGGTTCTCTTTAAGTCTGTTATTAGTGTGTAGGAATGCTTGTGATTTCTGCACATTAATTTTCTATCCTGAGACTTTGCTGAAGTTGCTTATCAGTTTACAGAGATTTTGGGCTGAGATGACGGCATCTTCTAAATATGCAATCATGTCGTCTGCAAATAGAAAAAATTTGACTTCCTCCTTTCTTAATTGAATACCCTTCATTTCTTTTTCTTGCCTGATTGCTCTGGCTAGAACTTCCAATACTATATTGAATAGGAGTGGTGAGAGAGGGCATCTTTGTTTAGTGCCAGATTTGAAAGGGAATGCTTCCCCTTTTTGCCCATTCAGTATGATATTTGCTGTGGGTTTGTTGTAAATAGCTTTTATTATGTTGAGATACCTAGTTTATTGAGAGTTTTTAGGATAAAGGGCTGTTGAATTTTGTCGAAGGCCCTCTCTGCCTCTATTGAGATAATCATGTGATTTTTTTGTCTTTTGGTCTGTTTATGTGGTGGATTACGTTTATAGACCTGCATATGTTGAACCAGCCTTGCATCCCTGGGATGAAGCCTACTTGATCATGATGGATATGCTTTTTTATGTGCTGTTGCAGTCAGTTTATCAGTATTTTATTGAAGATTTTTGCATCTATGTTCATCATGGATATTGGCCTGAAGTTTATTTTTTTGTTGAGTCTCTGCCAGGTTTTGGTATCAGGATGATGTTGGTCTCATAAAATGATTTAGGAAGGATTCCTTCTTTTTGGATTGTTTGGAATAGTTTCAGAACGAGTGGTACCAGCTCCTCTTTGTATGTCGTAGAATTCAGGTGTGAACCCATCTGGACCTAGGCTTTTTTTGGTTGGTAGGTTATTAATTGCTGCCTCAACTTCAGACCTTGTTATTGGTCTATTCAGGGTTTCAACCTCTTCCTTGTGTAGGCTTTGGAGGGTTCAAGTGTCCAGGAATTTATCCATTTCTTCCAGGTTTACTGGTTTATGTGCATAGAGTTGCCCGTAGTAATTTCTGATGTTGGTTTGCATTTCTGTGGATTCAGTGGTGATATCCCCTTTATCGTTTTTTATTGCATCTATTTTATTTTTCTCTCTTTCCTTTTTTATGAATCTCGCTAGTGGTCTATTTTGTTGATCTTTTCAAAAAACCAGTTCCTGGATTTATTGATTTTTTTGAAGGCTTTTTTGTGTCTCTATCTCCTTCAGTTCTGCTCTGATCTTAGTTATTTTGTGTCTTCTGCTAGCTTTTGAGTTTATTTATTTACTTCTTTTTTTTTTTTTATCTTGCTCCTCTAGCTCTTTTGTTTTTGATGATAGGGTGTCAATTTTAGATCGTTCCTAGTTTCTCATGTGGGCATTTATTGCTATAACTTTCCCTCTAAATACTGCTTTAAATGTGTCCCAGAGATTCTGGTATGTTGTGTCTTTGTTCTCATTGGTTTCGAAGAACATCTACTTCTCCCTTAATTACACTATTTATCCAGTCAACATTCAAGAGCCAGTTGTTCGGTTTCCATAAAGTTGTGTGGTTCTGAGTTAGTTTCTTAATGATAAGTGACTAAGTGTATGATCATTCAGCCTACACTGGGCTGATTCTGTATTGTTTATGGAGAAAGCTACTGCAAGCATAGTAAGAGTGTGAGCAACATGAAAGGGGCATATTTAATATATTGCAAAAAATAATTTACTGTCAAAGTCATTACATGAAAATAATGATTACTTATTTTAAGAATTTTACCTATTTAGTAGACTTAAAAGTCTGGTAAAATCGCTACCTAAAGGAAACTAGTAATTCATCCAAATACCCACCAACAATAGACTGGACAAAGAAAATGTGGCACAAATACACCATAGAATACTCTGCAGCCATAAAATGTGATGAGTTTGTGTCCTGCAAGGGCATGGATGAATCTGGAAACCATCATTCTCAGCAAACTGACACAAGAACAGAAAATCAAACACTGCATGTCCTCACTCATAGGTGGGTGTTGAACAATGAGAACAGATGGACACAGGGAGGGTAGCATCACACTCTGGGGTCTATTGTTGGGGGACTAGCAGAGGCAGAGCTGAAGATGGGGAGTTTGGAGAGGGATAACATGGGGAGAAATGCCAGACATAGGTGACGGGGGTATGGATGCAGCAAACCACATTGCCATGTGTGTACCTATGCAACAGTCCTGCATGTTCTGCACATGTACCCCAGAACCTAAAGTACAATTAAAAAATATATACATATATATATGTGTGTGTGTGTGCGTTTGTGTGTGTGTATATGTGTATATATATATATAATCATTTATTGAGCATTGCCACACATTTAGCACTGTTTCTATGTCATTGTGGTAAATTGACCTAGTTTATTTTAAAGTATGCCTCCAATTAGGCTTTTCTTTAATTCAGGTTTGTCAAGCCTCAAGTTATCATAAAATGTCAAAATTTTACTATATGCTCAGTGTGTATATTCAGCTACAAGGCTGTTGAATGCACAAAGGCAAGGACAACGATGATTTTTTTCACTGGTCAGAGTAAAAAATTATTGATTGCTCTTTTGCTTATAGTATTCATCAAGATGACTAAGCTCTTTCAACATGCTTTGCTCTGTGGTTTTTCTTTCAGCTGTTTCAGTGCAGGGCTTCCTAAAACAGAAGCCAACTGGGTGGATGTAATAAGTGATTTGAGAAGAATTCAAGATCTTATTCAAGTGAGTACTCATTTTTTCCATAAAATATCTGGTATAATCGCTATGGAGTGTGTCTCTTTCTCTGTTTTTCTGTCAGTCTCAAGGAAACCACACTTGAAACAGTAATATTTTTGTAGAAATTTATGATCTTATGAAGTTCCAAAAGAATTGTTTTCCTTACTGTTTTAGAATCTAATTATCTTTAAAACATAATTTATAAGAGGCCCAGCCTGATAAGTTCTAGTCTGCACAGGTGAGGGATTCTCTTCCTCTTTCTGGAGAAACCAGATATCTTGGTGGCACCTGCAGGGGGAATGGCTTGACCCAGGGAAGAGCTGTTGCTTGTGTACTAAAAACCTTCTTCTCCTACCTAGAGAAAACAGGTGACCCGACCTAAGGAAGTGCTCTTACTGTAGCAGATAATACCAGCTTCAGTGGAAGTCTCACTGGCACCAAGCATACCAAAATAGCACCACAAAGTTTTGAAAACCAAATTGTCATTGGAATCACAGCATTAAAAAGTAGGTTAGAACTTGCATGCTAAATTCAAACGGGCTGACTGCACGTTAAAACAGAAGATTTAAATAGGACCAGAGTATCCTAATATAATAGACACAAAGCCAAGATACAATTGAAAATCATCTATTGTATCAAGAAGTAGGAAAGTTACAATTTGAATGAGAAAATATAATCAACAGACTACAAAATTGAAATGGATCAGATGTTGGAATTGTCTGACTTCGATTTGAAAGCAGACATTATAAAAAGTGCTTCAAAAAGCAATTACAAATGCCCTTGAAGCAAATGAAAAACGAAATGCCTTAACAAAGAAATAGAAGATATGAAAGGAACCGTGTAGAAATTATAGAACTGAATATATAACTAAAATACAAAACAGACTGTAAAGGCTTGTTAACAGACTGAATAACAGAGGAATGATAGTTAATTTGACAACAGAATACTAGAGAGACAACTGACTTTAAAAAAAAAAAAAAAGCATCAGTGATCTGGAGGACACTAACAAAAGATCCAGCATTCCTATGGTCGGCATTGTAGAAGAGTATGATAATACACCAAGTAAGAGAGAGAGATTGGCTGAGTTGACAACAGAACAAAACCCATTTATGCTATCTGTAAGCAGTTCACATCTAGTATAATGACATATATAGGTTGAAATTAAAAAAAAAAAACAGATAAAGATGTATACCATACTATAATGGGTTGAATAGTGCCCCCCAAATTTCACATCCACTTGGGACCTTAAGATGTGATCTTATTTTGAAATAATATATTTGCAAATATAATTAATGAAATTAAGATGAGATCATACTAGAGTAGGGTGGACCCTAAATCCAATAACTAGTGTCTTTATTAGAAAAGGAAAGGACACAGAGGAACTCACTGGAAAGAAAGCCATGTGAAGACAGGGGAAGAGATCAGAGTGATGCAACTATAAGCCAAGGAAAACCAGGGATTGCCAGGATCCACCATAACCTTGGGAAAGTCAAGAAAGAATTCTTTAGAGCCCTCAGAAAGAACGTGGCCCTACCAACACCTTGACTTCAGACTTCCAGTCTCCAAAACTGTAAATGAATAAATTTATGTTGTTTTAAACCACCCACTTTGTGGTAGTTTGTTACAGCAGCTCTAGACTGATATACATGCATACATTATGGTAAAAAGCATAAGTGGCTATATTAACATCAGATAAAGTAGACTTCACAGAAAATAAAGTTACTAGAATCAAGAGGGCCATTACATAATGATAAAAAATAAATCCATGAGGAAAACATAATGTTCTTAAATGTATACACATCAAACAAAAAAGCCTCAAAATTTGTGAAGCAAAAAAATAATAGGGCTAAAAGAGAAATAGACAAATCCACAATTATACTTGAGAACTTTGCTGCCTCCACCTCAGTAACTAATAGAAATACTAGACAGAAAATCAGAAAGGGTATAAACATATAGCATAAGCAACCAACAGGATCGAATTTAATACATGGAGCCCTGCACACAACAACAGCAGAATATACTTTCTTTCATCAAGACTGAATATATCCTGAGCCATAAAGCAAACTTTAAAATTTTTTTCAGAACTTAAACCATGCAGAATTTGTTCTCAAATCAAAATGGAATCTAACCAGAAATCAAGAAATTAAATACAATGGGCAAATTTCCAAATGCTTGGAAATTAAATACTGTACCTCTATATAATCCATGGGTCAAAGAATAAATCTCAAAAGATATTCATAATACATAGAATGGAAAAAATTAAATACAGCATATTAAGATATGTGCAATGCAGCTGAAGCAATACTAATAGGGACATTTTTAAAATCAAATGATTACATTAGAAAAAAAGGAGAATTATCATATCAAAAATCTATGTTACCACTTCGAGAAACTAGAAGTAGAGCAAAATAAATTCAACACAAGCAGAACAAATAAAATGTTAAGTATAAGAGCAGAAGTTAATGAAATTGAAATCAAGAAAACAATAGAAAAAATAACGAAACATAAAACCAGTTATTTGAAAAACAAATAATTGTTATATCCTTATTAAGACTGACAAAAATAAAAAGAGAAAAAACATAAATCTGAGGAATGAAATTTGGGGCTATCAGTACAGAATCTGCAGTCATTTAAAGGATAATAAGTAAAACTATGAGCAATTTTATGCTCACAGATCTGACAACTTAGAGGAAATGGGCCAATTCTTCAGAAACTACAAACCACCGAAACACAATGAAGATAAAATAGACAATCTAAACACTCCTATCATCACTAAGTACATTGAATTCATCATACACAGGCTCCCAAACAGGAATCTCCAAGCCTGCTGGTTACACTGAAACATTCTACCAAATATTTAGAGAAGCATTTACAATTATAGTCTCTTCTAGAAAACAGAAGAGGAAGGAATGTTTTCCAGTTGGTTTTAGGAGGCCAGTATTACTCTGATGCTAAACCCAAATAAAGGCATTACTAAAAAAAGAGAACTACAAAAAATACCTCCCATTAACTTAAATATTAAAATCCTCAATAAAATATTATACACAAATCAAATTCAGCACTGTATAAAAAGAATTATACACCATGACTGAGTGAGATTTATTTCCAGCATGCAAGTCTTGCTCAATTATTTGAAAATCAGCCCATGTAATCTACCATATCAACAGGCTAAAGAAGAAAATCATATGTCAAAGGTATCTGATAAAATACCTCTTATGGGCTTAACCGTGTCCCTCCCTATGCCCCTGGATTTAATGTTGAGGTACTAATTGCCAGTATCTCAAAACGTGACTGTATTTTGAGATAAGGTCAGTTAAAATGAGGTCATTAGGGCAGGTTCTATTCCAATATGACTGGTATCTTTAGAAAAACAGATAAGGATATAGATACACAGAGATGGAAAACTGTGTGAAGACACTGGGAGAAAATGGCCATCTATAAGCCAAGGAGAGAGCACGCCAGAGAAACCAAACCTGCTGGTGCCCTGATTTCAGACTTCTAGTCTCCTGAATTGAGAGAAAATAAAATTATATTATTTATGTTACCCAGCCTCTGGTACTTCTTATGGCAGCCCTAGCAGACTGATATAATGCCCATTGAAGGTAAAATTTCTTAGCAAAGTTGGTGTTGAGAACTGCCTCAAGTTGATACAAAACATGTACAAAAAACCTAGAGCTACCATACTTAATGGTGAGTGCAAGACTGAATGCTTTTCTAGTAGGGCTGGAAACTAGACAAGGATATCTTCTCTCACAACTTTTACTCACCGTAATTGTCTTAGTATTTTTGTTGCTTATAACAGAATACCTGAAATGGGTAATTTATAAGAAAGGAATTTATGTCTTATGGTTATGAGACTGAAAAGTGCAAGGTTGAGGAGCCACATCTGGTGAGGGCCTTCCTGCTGATGGGGGCTCTTTGGAGTCCAGAGGTGACACAGAACATCACATGGCGAGGGGCTGAGTGTGATAATGTGCTAGCTCAGGTATCTCTTCCCCTTCTTATAAAACTACCAGTTCCCCTTCCTTGATAACCCATTGATACTTTAATCCATGAGTGGACTAATCTTGTTGAAAAGAGCAGAGCCCTTGTGATTTAATTGCCTTTTAAAGCCGCACATGTCAATACTGCTGCATTGGGGATTAAGTTTCAACAGGAATTTTGGAGGCGACATTCAAACCATGACAACAATATTGGAAGTTTGGCCAAATTATGAAACAGGAGAGAAAAAAATGTATGAGGAAAAAAACAAAGAAATAAAAGGCATGCAGATTGGAAAGGAAATTTATACATCACCCCAAGTTTTTTGGAGAGAAATTACTAAAAATGGGTATATTTTGTTTAGAAAATAATGCAAATTAAAACCACAATGACATATTATTACATGCAGCTATAAGCATGTACAAAATAAAAGGATAGTGATGATGCTAAGTAAATATAAATATACAAGGGTGATAATGCTGGCAAGGATGCAGAGAATCTGGATCATTTCTACATTGCTGGTGATGATGTAAAATGATACAGCCACTCTATAAAATAGTTTGGCAGCATCTTATAAAACAAAACATGCATTTGTCATGCAATCCACCTACTGTACTTGTAGACATTCATCCTAGACAAATGAAAACTTTTATGCACACAAATATGTACATGAATATTCATAGAGGATTTTTCATAACTGCCAAAAACCAGAAACAAATTTGCTTCAGTTGGTAAAATCTGTGGTATATCATGTCAGGGAATACTACAGAGCAATAAAAAGATGCAAACTCGTGATACCCACAATTTGGGCGGATCTCCAGGATATTGATGCATGAAAAAAGCCAATCTTCATAAACAAACTGTGATACATCCATAAAATAGAATATTATCCAGTGATAAAAAGAAATAAGCTATCAAGCCATAAAAAGAAATTGAGAAACCTGCAAAGCCATATTGTTAAGTGAAAGATGTGGACACCGATCTGAAAAGGCTTCACACTGTATGATCCCAACTATGACATTTTGAAAAAGGCTAAACTATGGAGACAATAAAAAGATCAGTGCTTACCAGGGGTTCAGAGGGAAGGAGAGATGGCTAGGCAGAGCACAGGTGACTTTTAAAGCAGTGAAAATATTAATATATGATGAGGGATGACATTATATGTTTGTCAAAACCTATAAAATATACAACACAAATAATGAGCCCTAATATCTTATACACTTAAGACCATATACTTCATAATAATGTACCAATAGTGACTCATCAATTACAACAAACACACCACACTTAATACAAGATATTAACAATAGGGGAAACTGGGGTTGAGGACAAAGGGGTGTGTAAGTCTCTGTACTTTCTGCTAGCTTTTCTATAAACCTAAATGACTCATAAAAACATCTATCAATTCTTTTAAAAGCTAATTTCAGAAGGTTACATACTATTCGAGTCCGTTTACATAATATTCTTGAAATGACAAAATTATAGGAATGGAGAACACAGAAGTGGTTGCCAGAAGTTAGAGGGATTGGGTGGTGATGAGGTATGTTATGAAAGAATAGCTGGAGAATCCTTGTGGTGATGGAACTATTTTGTATCTTAACTGTAGTGGTGGGGATGTGAATCTATGCAAGTGATAAAATTGCATAAAACTTCACACACATGCCTACACACACACTGTGGCACTTAAAACTTGTGAAACCTGAACAAGGTGAGTGCATTGTATTCACGTCAATTTTTTGATTCTAATACTGTACTGTGGTTATGCAAGATATCACCACTGGGGGGAAGCTTGTTGAAGGGTACACAAAATCTCTCTGTATTTACTCTTACAATTTCAGTAGGTTGTTCTCATCATATTTAAAGCAGGGCATAGTTTTTAATATTGTCTAATTTTGTTTCCTTTCAGTCTATACATATTGATGCTACTTTATATACGGAAAGTGATGTTCATGTGAGTATATTTTTTTTCAAAGTTGCTATTTGTCTAGTTATCAAAGTTTTTAAAAGTATATTTTTGTAACAACTAAAACGTGTAGTTTTTAAATCTGACTTTTGGTGTGTTTCTATGTTATATTATCAATGAGTTTTATTAGTGATTGTTGAAGTGGTACTTGAGGACAGAGAGCTACATAAATGCTATTTTGTAATGATGCCAAATCAAAATATTTTAAGTCTTTTCTATCAATGTCAAACAAGAAACATTATACATTTTTGTGATGCAGTTGCATCATGATGCAATTAGATAAAAAAATCAGGTTAACTGATTCAATTTAAGAGTAGACGACATATCAGTTATTTACAGTGCTGGAATTTATCACTATCTGCAATCATATTTTCTATAAATTGCTTAAAGTCATCTATGTTCTGCATTTTACATGGTTATCTACATTTGTCAGAAAAAGATTCTGACTGATTACTCTCTTTGTGAGAAAAGAAACATAATCCATGAAATTTATCAGAATTCAAACATGATCTTGAACTTGTCTTATTAATACAGTGACGTTTCCTAAGGCACGTAGGATTTGTCATGCTGGTAGTGGTTCTTCCTTTGGGATTGTTACTTAAACCAGTAAATGAATCCCCAACTTCACCTCAGGGAAAAAAAACTCTATGGCCTCTCTCCATTATTCCTCGATTGGAACTTCTCTTACATAGACGACTTTCTAAGCATTGGAAAGAAACCATAGCCAGAAACTAGAAAAAAGATATTCACCAACCAATTGGGTCATGCTGCTGCACAAAGAAATGGTCTCCCTCCTCTGGCTTCAGCGTGTTTTCTGTTTTCCTTTGCAATTTTTGTAAAATGGAAAGTAGTCAATTAACCACCAAATTCAGCATCCTGAGATTGCTTTTTTGCAAGAAGATAACTTTGCAACCCATGGGTTATAGAAACAATCTTAGATTCAAAATTAGATTTTAAAACTGACTCCACCACTTTTTCCTTGTGTTACCTTGGAAATTACTAAACATTTCTGAAGCTCAGTTTTATTATTGCTGATATAATGACAGTATTTGCCTTTCAACCCTAAGTGGTGGCTGTCGGGGTTAAGGAATATTACAAGTGCTGGGCACATGGGTGTATTCCTTCATTTATTCATCCATTCAGTAAGCATTTGTGAAGGGCCTGCAGGCTCCCAGGCACTGTGCAAGGCATTGGGGACA